CTGGGCTCTTGCGTCAAAACCTACGACCTCAGAACCTTGACCCGCCTCCCCGCGCGATTCTCTGATCATTGGGTACTTGGTTTTTCGATCTTGACCGACGAGGTAGTTCAGTTCCAGAATCGGTGGCGCCCGATTTGTTTCTAAATCCGTCGCGACCGATTTGGAGGGCCGCTCGGCCGCCAACGATCGCGACCGAACAGAATTCGGCATCAAATGATCTGGGCCCTCTTCCGCTATCTTCCTCTATGGCAGACTGGGCCCCTGAGTCAAGAACCGAGACTTCAGACCCTGGCCCGCCCCCCGCGCGAGTAGGTGGGCACGTGCACCGTGCGGTGGTAGTTGCGGGCGCTCCTCGTCTTCGTCCCCTTTCTCTTTCGCCCCCTCCTCCTCCTCCTCCTCCTCCTCCTCCTCCTCCTCCTCCGCCTCCTCCTCCTCCTCCTCCTCCTCCTCCTCCTCCTCCTCCTCCTCCTCCCCTCCTCCTCCTCCCCCTCCCCTCCTCCTCCTCCTCCTCCTCCTCCTCCCTCCTCCTCCCCTCCCTCCTCCTCCTCCTCCTCCTCCTCCCTCTCCTCCTCCTCCTCCTCCTCCTCCTCCTCCTCCTCCTCCGCCTCCTCCTCCTCCTCCCTCCTCTCCTCCTCCTCCTCCCTCCTCCTCCTCCTCCTCCTCCTCCTCCTCCTCCTCCTCCTCCTCCTCCTCCTCCTCCTCCTCCTCCTCCTCCTCCTCCTCCTCCTCCTCCTCCTCCTCCTCCTCCTCCCCCTCCTCCTCCCCCTCCTCCTCTATGAGGGATCGAGCCACAGGCCCCACCCTGGCCAAAGCCTGGCCTGGCCAAGCTCTGGCCGCTTGCTCGGCAGCTCGGCCAGGCTGGGCAGGCCGTGCATGCCGCGACGACGACGTCGAGGCCCAAGTCGCCGACGACGGTTTGATTGTAGTAATCCCGGCGTGTTTATGTGTGACTCCGGCCTCTGAGCCTCACCCTCGGGGCCCAGAGACATCAGAGATGGATCCAGTCATGGCGACGGAGACGTCGAGGCGCCGTCAGGGGCGGCGTCGAGATGGCGACCGAGGATCCGCCGGCGGCGCGGCGAGGGGGGGGGAGGGGGGGGCACGCCTTCTCAGAGGGCGGCGGGGCTTCTGAGGGGCTCCCTGGAGGGCCTATGCGGCTCCGGAGAGAGCAAGCTTTCCATTTGACTTGGCATTGCTCGGACGTGTGCATGTTTTCTCGGCTGAGACCTTCGAGAAGCATCCTGCATCATCATGCGAGAAATAAGCGCACGAAGCCGAACATTGCACGGGGAATGGACGTCCAAGCGATGGCCAGTTGAGGGACGCAAAAACGGGTCGTTTGCGCCGACATTGGCGCGCAAGTTGCCCGCGTGAGGTCGCGCGTGAGCGCCCTCGCCTCCAGCGTGGGGCGCTGCGCCGGCGGCCCCGCGTAAGCCGCGGCGTAAGTTGGCTATGCCATCTCGCGTAAGGCCCGTTTTTTGTCGTCGCTCATCTGGGCCTTCTCGGAAAAAAAGGCCCGCTTCCTCTGCCTGCCCCCTGGGGCGGCCTCCTCCTCCTCCTCCTCCTCCTCCTCCTCCTCCTCCTCATACAAACCTCATCCCTGTCGGACCCGAGGCCCAGATGAACGAGGCCTTCACTCGGAAAAAGGCCCGCTTCCTCTGCCTGCCTCTTGGGGCGGCTCTCTGGCAGGCCGGGAGCCTGCGGAGCCTCCCGAGGAGGCCCGCCCCCTCGGCCTTCCGCTCCCCGGGCGCGCCGCCGAAGTGGCCGCGGCGCGTCCCGCCGCGGGCTGGCGACCGAGGGCCATCTGTTCCACTGTCGAGACGTCGCCAGGGGCAGCGTCAGGGCGGGCGAGGGTTCGAGGTTGAATCGGGTTTTATTCCTTGTGTTGCCGATCGGCGCAGGCCCTCGGACCGCCCCCCTCCCCCCCCCCCCCCTCGCGGAGCAGGGCTTGGCTGTTTTCGGCGCCTGTTTCAGGCAGGGGGAGCCTCCCCCATAGGACGCTCTGCTGCACACAGTCGCACTGAGCAGAGGTCTGGAGCCAGACCCCCCCCCTCCCCCCCTTTCGCCCAATGTCGAAACGCCGAGTCAGAAAACGCTCACCAGCCACGCGCAGATGGGGCGTGGAGGGGGAGGGCTTCTCAGAAGCACCCCTGCTTCTTAGAGGGCGCGGGCCTCATCTATAGATGTACGGCTGGCGCCTTCTGAAAAGCAGCCCCTCCCCCCTATCCTACCCCCTCGCGCGCGCCGCCAAGCAGCGACGTCGTCAGTGTCAACGTCAGGGTGGGGGAGGGTTCGAGGTGGAAGGCTTGCGGGCGTTTCGTTGGTTCCTGGCGGTTCCCATCCGAGGAGCAAGAGCACATGACAATGATACGTTCCAGGATTTGCATGATTTCCTTAATTCCCTAATGTTTTACACGGGCTGCGGAAACGAGGGCCGCTAGATACGTTGGAAATCTTGGAACGTATCCTGAGCCAATCTTCTCACGAGATGATTCCCGTCCAATTTCCGGCTCCAGGGTGCGTTCCAGCAGCTGCGCCTCGCAGAGAGGGATGCCTTGATCGCCGCGAACGGCCACATGAGACCCGAGCTATGACCCTAGAACAAGAGGACGAGGATCACTTGGAGGGACATGCTCAAGGGGGGGGGATGCATGGACCCCTAATCGCCTTTTCATTGCCGATAGGGGGCAGGAAGGGTGCGATTTGCGATCGGGGGCAACTGGCCCATGGGCGACGCACCGCTCCTTCCAACTCGATGTTTTCCCTCGAAGCCGTTGCCCCTGTCGTTTCCCTTCGCTGTACAAGCCGCGCTCCACGCGCCAGCGCACAGGCCGCTGTTCTGCTACGGAGTCGTCGAGCACCCAGGCGAGCAGCATGACGGTTTCCCATGATTTCCCTTTACCTTTGGAAGTGTCCACTGTCAAGTTCAAGCGACACGACGGCCAGCCAGAGACAGTTCACGACTTCGGGGTCCTCACGGGGACTGACGGGTCATTCACCAGAATAGACACAGCTGAATCTGATAGGGCAGCATTCTCGGTGGTGGCATACACTAGCGACGGGGCCGCCCCGGTAACTTCCTTTACTGGGTCCATTGCGCTTCATCTCCCAAAGACCACAGGCTGAGGAATACATGGGTTTCCTGGTGCTCCAGGAGGCCCTCACCAAGCCAGCTAGGTTTCGGGTGGACTGCAGAGCGGTCCTTGATCATCCTGTGTGGCTCACGCGTGGGAGCTTTTGGACAGCCCTATGCCTGACCGTTGTTCCGCCCGTGTCACTTGTGCCAAGATTCTCAAAACTACTCGTGCTAAGGAAGGCCACACGCGTAAGCCACTGCAGCCGGCCTTCAGGACAGGCCTTGAGAGTACACGCGCGTCTTACCAGATGGCAGTTGCTGGCCTTACCGACGCACCGATTTTCTTTTGCAGCCGCTGCGGCTGCTAATTACCTACAGTACAAGTTCTGCAGCTTGCCAGCCACATGCCCAGGCAAGGCGACAGTTTGGGGGATCAGGATGCATGCATTTTGTCGGCTTCTTGCGTGCAAGCATCCTCGTTTCAGCCAGCGCATGTTTACAATAATACGGACGAGATACGTTCACAGCAGATTGTGCAGTGCGAGAGAGCGCTGGACGTCCACGAAGCAAGTTCAGTTGCAGCCGCCGCCCCAGCGCGCCACCCAGACCGAAGTGCATGGGGCTTGGCCGCGTCGCGAACTCCCTAAGGGAGGAGAGGGAGGAGGAGGAAGAGGAGGATGAGGAGGAGGAGCAGGAGGAGGAGGAGGACGAGGCGCCCCTGCTTCCGCCCGTGGGCCGCGCAGAAGATCGCCGGGTTCCTGCGTCGGCATCCGCCAGGCGGGACGTCATCTGGTCTTGGCTCCTATCTTTCTTCCTCGTGCTGCCCGTGGTGTCTCATCCACAGGCAGTCTTGCCCAGCCTGCGGACCCACCCATTGGCCGCGTGGGCCTTGCTTGCCGCGAGAAGGGCGCGGTGCCGGGGCCCCTTTGCCCCCAGGCCTTGGGATGGGCTCGTCCTTTGGCCTCCGTACCTCGCGCCAGTGGCGCGCGCGGCTGGGCCGAGCCGCTTGCCCGCCGCGCTGTCCGACGAGTCTCGCCAGGTTCCTTCTGTTCCAGCGAGGTTGTTCACAGCACGCGATCTCCAGCGAGGGGCTCGCCCTCCAAAGTGGCTCACTTCTGCGCCCTGCACTCGCCGCTCATTGGCGCCCTCCGCGTGTCCGCTTGCCGCTGCGCGGTCTGCGCAGCGGCAAGACTTCGCCTGTTTCGCGCTCAGCCTCCACTGGCTGTGGAGCCATACCGCGGCGCCGGTGGCAGGCCAGAAGCTGTCCGCTCATGGCCCCGCGGGGGAAAATAAGTCGGCGTCTTCGTTTCGGGCGTCTCACTTCGCAGGCTGTTTGTCGACCCCAACCTTCGCAGTCCTTCAATTGAATCTGGCCGTTCAGACACGGAGGAAGCTCCTGGATGAATCCTTAGGGGGCTATTCGGAGGCACCGCTACTGACTATTGAGGACGGGCGCCTCCTAATCGCATGTCCCTCATTTTGACCCAAACGTGATTGTCCGGTCAAAAGTACAACAAAGTCGGGAATTGGGGTCGCCCCCGCGTTATACGTATTCGTGTCGCACATTTGTCGCTTCGTTCTTGCAAATTCTCGTCGCAACGGCTGGACGCGGCTCCACAACTATGCTAGATGAATCTCGCGCTCGGTCCGCCGCCGCTGGCTGCCGCCGCTGCCGCCGCCGCCGTCACCGCCGCCGCCGCTTTCGTGGACGTCGCAGCCGCCGTCGCCTGCCGTGGACGTCGTCATCGCCCTCACCGTCGAAACCCTTGTCCTCGTCCTCCTCCTCGTCCTCCTCCTCCTCGTCCCCCTCCTCGTCCTCCTCCTCCTCTTCCCCTCCCCTCGCACAACACTGCACATTCTGTCTGACATCCCTCGGCGAGGTGCGGGGGCGGACGCTGTGTTTTTTCCGCCCTGGGCCTCCAAGGTGCTCCCCGTGGCCGCGGCTGGACACCCCCTCGAGCAGCGGACCAGGACGCGCCCGTGGACTGGCCCTTGGGCCACATGCGAACCCTACCCCTACCCCCCTCGATTTCTGAGGGGGAGGGTGGGGTTCACTTTGCTCCGAGAGGGGGGGGGGATACGCATAAGAGGGGGATGCATCGACCCCACATCGCCCAGTGATCGCCGATGGGGGCCCGATAGGCCAACCTGCCCAGGGAGGTGCGGATTTACCATCGGGGGCCCATCGCCAACCTATATCGGCGATGTCTCGCGGATTCAAGGCCGACGTTCGCCCCCCATGCCTGTCCCCCTGTATCGTTGCCCGTCATCGACCCCAGAACCCATCATGTCTCCCATTTTGTTGCCCCATTTTGGCGCATCATCTGCTACAGAGCGCGCGCGTGACACACAGGTGTCTTAGCTTTAATGGGTCAGGTTAGCTTTGGCGCAGTGTCGACAGGGGCTGTTTCAGGTTAAATCATGGATTCGCCACATTAAGGGGGGGTATTCGTTTTCTCCTCCAGGATCCTTTTGTGATGGGGCCGGCGAGGCCTTCCAGGGGCGGAAAGCGGCGAAGAGCCGCCGCGGTCTGGATTTTTGTCCACACGCTGGAGGTTTCCCCGAAGCCCACGACCTCCGCAGGCAGCCGCCAACATTGGCTCCGAGTAGCATCAGTCCTGGCAGTCGCTGCTGGACCTGGGGTGACCGTCGGATCCAAGATCTTGTTGTCGATTTCTGTTGGCGGGCACCGTTCAACCCTTCAGGGCAGCCCAGCGCTGTCAAATTGCGCGGCGGTTGCACGACGACGGCGGTTGCGCGAAAGGAGCGTGTTTGAAACCATTGATGTTCGCGCGCGGCGAAACTAAAGCAGCGTGGATCTGAACGCGAACTGTTAGTTTCCAGACCACGTGTGTGATTGCTTTTGAACACATCGCCCCTGCATCGCAAAGGTATGTTTATAATTTCAGAATAAATCCGTTTCTTATTACTTTTGTCGATTTTAATTGTTCGGTTTGTTCATTGGTTCGAGCTTTTGTTCGAAATAGACCGCGCGGTCAGCTAATCGAGTTTCGGCCGTTGTCAAAATTTCGTAAGCGGGGGATTACCAGTTGAACCGAGATGTCGCTGTTATTTCCAAGGGGTGGCTACCCTTGAAGACTAAGTGTATTTTGTCGTTGTTTTTCTGTGCGATCGGTTTCACAAGAGTGTACCAGGAGTGACCTACAACCCTCGTCAAAATTAACCTCAAAATGGCGGGCACGCCCCTTCGATGTCGGCGCGCCCCTTCAATGTCGATACGACGCCCCTTCAATGTCGGGGCCAGGGCAGATGTGGTGTGACCGGGAGCGACTCGAAAATTCAAAGATGACCGACATTGGAGGGGCGGCGCATACAAGTACATCGCACTCATCGGCACTCGGTCCGATATCTCCCACAATCAGTTCAGCTACGTGAGGCATTTTTGATGTTATTTTTGACGAGGGTTGTAGTAGCCATCATGGCTCCTACCTGCTGGCCATTCGGTCGTTGGGCGGCCTTCAGCTACAAGCGACACTACAACGCCTGGCAGCGTCCTCACGAGGACGCGGCCCACACGGCCGATGCTGTGGATACCTGGCAGTGTTGCAGACCGAGTTGGGCGGCTACTTCGTCAACGGGCAGCCCGAACCATGACTTCCGAAGGGGACACCACAGGGCGGGTTCCTGGAACCCGCCCGCGAATCAAGAGCCGGGGGCCCCCAGATGGTGCGGAGACCACACCGTGTGGCGAGTCGGTGGGGATTCGGGGTGGCCGCCCAGATTCTTGGACCTGGGTCCTTCTCCGAGGATGTCTCGGGCGACGGGGGGCCTCCGAGGTCTCAAACACCGTACGGTGGCCCTGGGATCCGACGGCGTGCAAAACTGCAACACCGTAAACAATCACGACCAGATCCCCAGACCTCATCTCTTTCTGCTGCGTATTTGAAGACGGGTCGAAGATGCGAAAACGCCAGATTTTACAAGACAGTGGGACGTCAGGATTTGCAGGAGGTCGTTGGTGATTTCGAGGTCACCGCGCGGTCCGTCACCGTTCCGCCCTCGGACCCCCGACCCTGAATTAGGATCCGCCGTACTTGGGTTGGTTCTCTCATGTAGGAGAGTGTCGGACGCGCTCTCCAAAAGATGCGAAAAAGCAGGGAGGGTATTTGGCAAAGAACGTTAGAAACAACGACGGCACAGCAGGGCGGACATCGACACCTGAGGCGGAAGTTTCTTGTGACTCTTCCGCCTCGTTGTGCCTTCTACTTTACAGTCGTGGCGCCTATTCGTTTCCTGCTCCACGCCGTGGTGCGCCCCGTTCTTTTGCGTCACGCCCGTGATGCGCTCCTCTTTCTCTTCGCTGGCAGGCACACTTCGCTTCGGTCTTCAGCAGTTGCTTAATCTCTGCCCTGCCCACACGCCAAGCGGCGCAGAGAGCGCCGCAGCGAGGCGCCCCGGCGCTCCGTTGGGCAGCCCCGCCCGGCGCCGCGGCGGCTCGCCCAAGCGGGCTCACCGCCCGAGCCGGCCAGCCACGTCGCAGGCGCGCCCGGCAGGGGTCGGTCGGTGGACCGCCCAGACCCCCTCGAGTCAGGAGCAAATCGCGACGGAAGGGTTTTCGTTATTCTCAGTGTGTGTGCGTGTGTGTGCGCGTGTGTGTGTGTGTGTGTGTGTGTGTGTGTGTGTGTGTGTGTGTGTGTGTGTGTGTGTGTGTGTGTGCGCTCTTACTGGGCCTCGGAGCCGCCGAAAATTGATCGGGATGAGAAACCAATCCCGGGGAATGGGTCGAGATTTTTGCGGTTTTACGTTTGGAGCTAATCATGTTATCGGGGGTCTGGGGGGATTCTCGGAGAGCGAAAACGGCATACAAACAATTTCTGTGAGTTCCAAGCGGGTTTCGTCGATATGCGCCTGTGCCTCCCTGGCGGCGCCTCCAGCACCGCCCCTGGCGCGCTCCGCGCGCCATCGAGTGGGTACAGCGCCGATCCAACGATTCTGCGCGCACCTCCGAAAAATTATGTTCATGCAGTTTTTATTCCTCGAGTTCGGGATGGACTGGTTCAGCTGGGGACGCATCGACCTCCGATTGCCCATTCATCGCCGGTGGTGGCCTGGTAGCCCACCCCTCCCGGGAACGTGCGGATTGGCGTAAGCATCAATCGGCGACGCACGGGTGATTTTTCATGGGGCTATCGCTGATCCATAGGCGAGTTGTCGCCGATTCCAGGTCGATGTTCCCCCCCTGAGCGAGTCCCCCCCTAACCATCCCCGTCAGGGGTCAACCCCAGGGCGTTCCAACTCTTTGAAAAACACCCGGGATCGAGGAGGAGATGGAGGAGGAGGAGGAGGAGGAGGAGGAGGAGGAGGAGGAGGAAGGATCGGGCACCGAGACGCTCTCGCGCGTCCTCTCGAGTCTCCGGTGTGCTCTGGGGGATCCGGGGGGCCCCGTCTCCTCGAGGTGGTGATCCCCTCTGGCGGTGAAACCCCCTGTGGCACTGCCTGGAGGGGGGGGGGACCTCTGGCCCCCGCTGCCAGTGGCCCCCCGCTGCGGCGAGGAGCGCCGGAGCGGAGGTGTCGCGTCGCCACAGCGCGCGGGCCTCCTTCAAGGAAGAGAGGCGCCTCGGCCAAGGGCAGCGATGGGGGGATGGGCAGGAGGGGGGGACGCATGGACCCCCGATCGCCCCACGCATTGCCGGGGGGGGGCCCGATAGCCCCACCCCCCGCCCAGGGACGTGCGGATGCGCCATCGGGGGCAGAGGGCCGATCCATCGTCGGGGTATCGCCGATTCCAGGTCGATGTTTCTCCCAGGTGCCAGGCCCCTCCCTTCCCTGTCGTTGCACCTCACACAGAGAGACGAGACTCAGGTGAGCTTCATCACCAGACTGTAGCAGGGAGATCTCTGGAGGCCCTGATGAGTCAATGATTCGGGAGGGGAAGAAGAAGTACCAGTGACGCGCGCGAGGCCTCCAAACACAGAATTCGCGTGCCGCTATGTCGCCCTTGGGAGCAAACAGAAAGCTGCGTGTGCTGCTCGGTCGCTCTTGGGACGCGACGCTTTCAGCCGTAGCACTCTTGTGGGGTCGTCTGGCCTGCGTGACATTGCTACCCTCCGACCACCGCGGGCAACCGCCTCTGGCCCAAGCGTGCCGAGTCGACATGGGCCGAGGAGGAGGAGGAGGAGGAGGAGGAGGAGGAGGAGGAGGAGGAGGAGGAGGAGATGGAGGAGATGGAGGAGATGGAGGAGGAGAAGGAGGAGGAGGAGGAGGAGGAGGAGGAGGAGGAGGAGAAAAGGAGGAGGAGGAGGAGGAGGACGAGGAGCAGGAGCAGGAGCAGGAGCAGGAGCAGGAGCAGGAGCAGGAGCAGGAGCAGGAGGAGGAGGAGGAGGAGGAGGAGAACGAGGAGGGCCTCCCCATCCTCGCTTCTCCCCCGCCCTGTCTACGGTGGTGGTACAGAATTGGCCCATCCCCCCTCGCGCCCTGTCCAGGTACGGCAGGTTCGTGTCGTGCAAACTTCGGCGTGGGTTTCTGACACCGCGGAGATCGTTCAACCTTGCACGATCGACCGCTTCCGAAGCGTCGGATCGTTCAGCATCGACCGATCCCGAGCCGCCAGCGGCGTTCCACCCTGAACGCTGGCAGCGGGGTCGCCGCCGGTCGGCATGACGCGACCCTGCCGCAGGCCGGGTGCCCGTGCCCGGCCCGCCCTCGTGCGAGGCGGGGCGACTCGTGGCTCGGGGCGGCGCGCTGCCCGTGCAGGCCGCCGTGGGCCGGGAGCCTTCTTCGGGGGAGCCTCTCGGGGGGAGACTCCCTCGGGGTGGGGGGCCTCCGTGGAGATCTCCTGGACAGGGCCCCGCACGCCCCGACGACGCGGCAGGAGGACGGGGAGAGAGGCTTTTTCCCCGGAGGGGCGCGAGGGCGCGAGGAGGGGAAGGAGGGGTCTCCGTCGCCTTCGCGTGGGCCCGTAAAGGCCGAGGGAGGGTCAGAGAGTGCGCTTTGCACTGACCTCTCTCCTCCTCCTCCTCCTCCTCCTCCTCCTCCTCCTCCTCCTCCTCCTCTTTATTCCGTAGCTGTTTTAGCTCAAGTTCAACCGCTCGGCCTTGGTGGTCGAGCTTGATCGCAGCCAAAGGGCTTGGCTCGAGGCCCACGGGACTTCTCATACGATCCTCGGGTGAGCTTCAGGCCTCCCGATTCCTGACCTCGAACGCGCACTCGCATCGCCAATGCCAGACACGACGGATGTTCCCTCTCATGCTGCTGCTGTCTTTGGCACGGGTGTCGGGAGCCAGGGCGCTTTCGCTGAGGTGCAGGGAAAGCTTCCTCAGGCAAAGCGGGCACGCTTGAGTGAGGCAAAAGCTACACGCAAAGGTGGCATTCCAGACCAGGCAGATGTCCAGAAAATGTTCGCCATGCTGGGTGGCATCTAGGCTGGCCAGGCGAACCTCGCGACGAAGGCCGACATGGAGACCACGCGCAGCGAGGTCAACGGACAGAACAACCGCATCGACCAGCTCTTCGCCAGGATGGACGTCCTCGAGACCCAGACGCGTGACAGCATGTGACAGCTTCTCGCAGACCAAAGCGACCATAGCCGGTATGGACAACAATATTTCATCGTGACAAAATTATATTTGCACCCACGACACCATCCTCTGCTTCAGGCTCGGTCTCGTCTCATTCTTCGGGTACTAAGGCATCAGTATCTTCAGCCCCTCGCAAAGTTTGGATTGGTAGCTTTCGTCGTGCACTTCTGGGTCGTTTCCTCGAAGGGCACGGACATTCGGTTCTAGCGAATCTAAGCGAGGCGGCCCGTGAAGGAGTGATTGTGAAGGGCTACAACTTGCAGAAGAGCTACAGCATCGCCCTCGCCGACGTGACCTACGCCAACAACTTCATCGAGCGGGTTTGCAATGATGGATTGACGTGGGCCGACTCTCGTAAGAATCAGGCTGCGCGTCTGCGGGCACGGGGGGACGCGACCGCCGACATGCGCAGGCGGAACAAGATTCTCGGCGACTTGTGGGAGCGAGTTCGCGCGCACATGAACGGGGCCAGCCAATGGGCGCCGAATGTGCGCTTGGGTGCTCAGGGCTTCAAGGGCGCGCTCTACCTCATCCAGGGCGGCGAAGTGCGCCTCCTCTTCCAGATTGAAGGCGGGGGCCACGACCAGTTCACGATCACGCCGAACTCGTCTGAGTCGGAGCTCTTCGGCATGGACCACGACGTGATCAGCTCTTGGATTCAGGCCCCACAGTTGAGAATTACTTCGCCGCCAGTTCGGGCTTGCACGGATGATGGGAGGTACAGTTTGAAAGCGCGCCGCTGGATCACCCTGTAGTTGAAAAGGGGGGGGGGGGTCCGACGGTGAGATGTTCGACCCCCCCCCTTTCACTTCCTTGATGGGGAGGGTCCGAGCCCCCCCCTCCCCCCCCCCACCTTGAAGGGGATGGGGGTTCGGGGCCCCCCCACCCTCCCCCCTTGGCGCTGGAAATGGGAGGGGAGGGTTCGACCTCCCCCCCTCTCCCTTTGCGCCGAACAGGGGGCCGGGGAGAGGACCTCTCCCGCAAGAGGGGAGTAGGGAGTATTGAGTAGTGAATAGTTGGGAGCGGGGAGTGGAGTAGCGAGTAGTGAATAGCGTGGAGTATTGAGTAGTGAATATTGGGTAGTGAGTAGCGGGTAGCGAGTAGGGAGTAGCGAGTAAGTAATAGTGAGTCGCGAATAGGGCGCTCTGATTAGTGAGTAGTGAGGAGGTGCTGCTACTGCCAGGACTGCTGCGGACATCTACATCATCGACTGTGGTCCTGCCCGAACCTGCAGGACATGCGCGTGGAAGCTCTGGATGATGATATCAGGAGGCGCGCTTTGCAGGCAGCGCCCAACGACCTATCCTACGCGAGAGAGCTCCTGCCGCGGGCGGCCCCCCCTGTGCTGTCGACAAGGGTGGACCCCCAGGCTTGGCACCGCTGCATGGGTGGCAGGGGCATGTCCATCACGGGGGAGATCTTCGCCGATGGATCGGCCAAGTGCCCACTTCACTGGCCAGAAGCGAATCGAGCGGGCTGGGGCGTCGCGGTGACGAACGCGCAGCGGTTACTTGGCATGGCATGCGGGCCGCTGTCTGGCCCCTGGCAGACGGCGCAGCGAGGCGAGCTGTGCGCAATCATCCAGGCGCTGAAGCATGGCGAGACCCCCATGAAGATCAAGACGGACTGCTTGGGCATTGTGGCGGGTCTTGAGCAGGGGCGAGGCGCGCCGCGCGCCCGCGCAGGGGGAACGTGGGCCTGTGGCGCCAGCTGTGGCACGCGCTGGAGGATCCTGGCGGCCTAAGCTCAGACCTCAGCATCACATGGATCAAGGGCCACCAGAGAGGCTCGGAGTCGGGAGGACCGCCCGACAATATCGGCAACGACTACTACGCGGACACGGCGGCGAAGAAGGGCCTGGCGACCCACGGGGTGCCCGCGGCCGTCTACGAGCGCCACGCCAATCTTCTGGAGGAGTTGCGCCAGGCGGCGGCCTGGATCGGCAACGGCCAGGCCAACCTGG